TTTCTTAGTTGCTCTTGTCTTCTGGCAGCTCTGCGCATGCGCACACTGGGAACAGGCTCCAGCTGTTCCTCTGCCTCGCTGCTGTTCTAGCGTCAGGTCTCCGAAAAATGCCCTAATTAATTCATTAATTAATTCATGAGCCTGGAGCCAAGTTTCAAAAGAAATCCAGTCATTTATTAGAAACACCATTTCGGCAATACCCATTACAGTCAGATCTCCTCAACCCCCCAGGACTGGCCCATGTTCCTCCCCAACTTCCTCACTTTTTGACTCTGCTGCCAATTCTACAGGCCGCTGGCAGGCCACAACAGCAGCCAACAGGGCCCCCAGCCCCTTATCTCCCCCCTCAGGGTGTTAAAACAAATGTAGGCCAATTCATCGATAGGTATAGTTGTGAGGTGGCCTAGAGGTGGCACTCTCGCCTCACAATCAGGAGGCTGTGAGTTCGATCCTTGGTAGAAGCAGTTATTTCTCTCTCTGGGCACGAGAATTTATCTGCTGAATGGAACTCCGCATTGGCGACATGAAAGGCATCCGGCCAGTAATCCCTCTGCTCCATTCAGTTGCTCTAACTCCACCCTGCAAGGGATTACGGTGTCGTTAAAAGATGATTGATGTGTATAGTTGTGGACGCTAAGAGGAACCTGCCTATTCAGAGACAATCTACCTCTTTGTAATAATCCAGGTGGACCTCAATTTAAGACCACAGCCGAGCCCAGAGTTTATGTCGCTAAGTGAGCGAAATTATTTAAGTGAGCTTTGACCCATTGTACTGTACTGCGTTTACGCCTCTTTTTCTCCGCAGCTGGACCAGACCAGAGATTTTGAGGAGCGACGGCTGATCCGGGCAGCCATGCGGGATCTGCGCCAGCGGAAGCGAGGTAACTTTGAACGGTCACTGAATGGAGGGTTGTAAGTTGAGGACTACCCATACTGTACTTTATATCGAGAAGTGCAGGCTGTTCCTGCTCAAAGAATTGCGACAGAACATCCCCCAGAGCTACTGATGACCCATTTCAGGACTTCTGATGAGTGTTTCCCCCACCGTATTGGATTTGGGGCCCTTGGCAAGGAGATGCCAGCTGACATGGATAGCTGTTTGCAGTGCCCTGTGGCCTTATGATTGCGATTTTGGGGCAGGTTTTTGTGAGTTTTGGGGGGCGCTTCTGATTTAAGAGGGACGCAGTGGCTCAGGGGCTGCTGAGCTTGTCGATCAGAAAGGTCGGCAGTTCGGCGGTTCGAATCCCTGGCGCCACCTAACGGAGTGAACCCCCGTGACTTGTCCCAGCTTCTGCCAACCTAGCCGTTCGAAAGCACATAAAAAAATGGAAGTAGAAAAATAGGAACCACCTTTGGT